GAGCTTGCAGTGAGCTGAGATCACGCCACTGCACTCCAGCCTGGGCGACAGAGCGAGACTCTGTCTCAAAAAAAAAAAAAAAAAAAAAAAAGTTTTTATAACAGTCAACAGTTCAGTCCGGAGTTGTAAATTTATTTTAAAAAGTAAGGTTTTTTGTTTGTGTTTTGGGGCAAGGTCTCACTCTGCCACTCAGGCTGGAATGCACAACCCTAGCTCACTGCAACCTTGGACACCCAGGCTCAAGAGATCCTCCCACCTCAGCCTCCTGAGCAGCTTGGATTACAGGCGTGAGCTGTTCTGGCCAGCTAATGTTAAAATAATTTATTTGTAGAGACAGGGTTGCCCAGGCTGGTCTCAAACTCCTGGCCTCAAGCAATCCTCCTGCCTAGGCCTCCCAAAGTGCTGGAATTACAAGCATGAGCCGTTGTGCCTGGTTTAAAAAATAAGTTTTTTTTTGGCCGGGCGCGGTGGCTCACGCCTGTAATCCCAGCACTTTGGGAGGCCGAGATGGGCGGATCATGAGGTCAGGAGATCGAGACCATCCTGGCTAACACGGTGAAACCCCGTCTCTACTAAAAATACATTTAAAAAAATGAGCCGGGCGTAGTGGTGCACGCCTGTAGTCCCAGCTACACGGGAGGCTGAGGCAGGAGAATGGTGTGAACCCGGGAAGCGGAACTTGCAGTGAGTGGAGATCACACCACTGCACTCCAGCCTGGGCGACAGAGCAAGACTCCGTCTCAAAAAAAAAAAAAAAAAAAAAAGTTTTTGTTCCTAATTAAATGAGGGTTTTCTGACATTTTCCCTCTAGACTTAGGTGTTCATTAACTCTGGTCTATATTAAATTATTCTTTAAGAGGAAAACAAGTGAAAAAGCTGAGTCTTTCTTTATAGTAAGAGACATCAGGGGATACGGTTCTTGTGAAGAGTGGCGATGAGATGGCCACTGTCTGACAGAACCGCCTGCAAGTTTGCAGAGTCGTTATCTTCATTTCCTGGGGTTGCACAGTGCCAGCTTCTCAAACAGGTATTATAATACTAACAAAGGCTTCTATCACATGGCTTTTTTTTCCTTAAGTATCTTAAAAAACTTTTTATTGGGAAAAGTTAAAATGTATGGAGAGCGAATTCTGTAATGGTCTTCTAGACGTCCATCCCCCACCCTCTACACATCACCAATCTCATCCCATCTTGAGACTTCGTCCCCCAATCTGTTTTGACTGGCTAGTATTTGCTGGTGTTATCTTAAAGAACATCCTAGGTATCACTTCACACCTACATAATTGTGCCTGCATTTCTTTTTTCTTTTGGAGACGGAGTCTCACTCTGTCACCCAGGCTGGAGTGCAGTAGCATGATCTCAGCTTCCTGCAACCTCTACCTCCTGGGTTCAAGCGATTCTCATGCCTCAGCCTCCCAAGTAGCTGGGATTACAGGTGCGTGCCACTACGTCTGGCAAGTTTTTGTATTTTTAGTAGAGACAGGGTTTCACCATGTTGGCCAGGCTGGTCTTGAACCCCTGACCTCAGGAGATCCACCACGCCCGGCCTCCACCTCCATTTCTAAAACCAAAGACATTTTCTTTAATAACTACAATACCACTATTGTGGTGATGATCACCGAATAAGATTAACAATTCAACATCACTTAACACCCAGTCCATGTTCAAATTTCCCTGTATGCACCAGAAATGCCTTATGGTGGCTGGTTTGTCTGAAGGGTGGAAGCAGGGTCCATGCTCAGAGCTGGCTGTTGAGCAGGTGCTGGGTTTGCTTGAAGGCCTGTGTGAAACAAGGCCTGATGCTGGCACCCATCAGACAGTTCCTAACAGCATAGATGTCCAGGATTGTGTCTATCAAGCACTGGCACTGTGTGTTTGCAGGTCTGTTCTCCAGACTCTGCATTCAAGGAGTGAAGGGAATGTGTACCAACCACCACTGCATCCCCAATGGTAACGCACGCCCAGCACAGGCGAAGGAGCTCTCTGAAGCCATGCTGCAGTCCAAGTCTCGATTCTGAAGCGGGTCAGATTTTGAATCCTGGCCTACCAGTTAACCAGTTGGTTTGTTAGCCAGGTAGTTATCCTCTAGTACAAACTACTTATCCTGTCTGGGCCTCCATTTTTTCAGCTGTGAAATGGGCTCACAGATTGGTAGTATGGGCTCACAGATTATTGTGCAGATGAAAATGAAGCAGACTATGGCCTGGCACCCTGGAACTCAGGATCTGTTAGCTCTATAGAGACACAACTCCCTTGAGGGTGGCAGGAAGCACACCCTCCAAAGCCTCTGGTTGGGGTGCGTGTACCCCTGGGATACAGTGACAATCAACAAGAAACACCGTGCCTTCTCCCAGAGGCTCATTTGAGGCTAACTTAGAGCACATTGTTTAAAATGACACCTACAGCTGCCTGGGAGCCACTCTCTCTCCTCCCAGCCTTTGGGGTTACTCTGTAGTGCACTTGGAAAAGCACTGCATTAAGTCAGAGCAGCATGAATGCGTAGGCTCTGGGACAAAAAGCCTCTGGGATTCCTTCCTGAACTGGCCCTGTCCACTCCCGTGGCTCTCTGTGCATACCTCTTACCCATTGGTACTGCGCTCCAAATGCTCCTTTCAACAGATCCTCCTGGCCGGGTGCTCCTCGCCCAGGGGGAAGCCCAGGTGACATCCTCTGGCTCCACCTACAGGCTGCCTTTGGGACAAGACCTGGTTGTTTCCAAAACTGTGAGGGATTCAGTGTGTAAGTGAGTTCTGGGATAGCAAATACAATTCTTTCTTTTCTTTTTGAGACAGGGTCTCACTCTGTTGCCCATGCTGGAATGCGGTGGTGTGATCTCGGCTCACTGCAGTCTTGACCTCCTAAGTTCAAACAATCCTCAAGCATCAGCCTGCCCAGTAGCTGGGATTATAGGTGCACACCACTACGCCTGGCTAATTTTTGTATTTTTTGTAGAGCTGGGGTTTTGCCATGTTGCCCAGGCTGATCTCAAACTCCTGGGTTCAAGCGATCTGCCCGCCTCAGCCTCCCAAAGTGCAGGCGTGAGCCACTGCGCCCAACCTACCCTGGTAATTTGCTGAAGGAAGCCTTAAGTAGTAAAGGGAGAAGAGGAATGGCCCAGCCCTTGTGGGGAAGCCCTCCTGGGTCAGACACACCAACCTCTGCTTCCAGCGGGGTGGGGGTGGGCAGCTCCCACCCGTCCTTACCTCCCTTTGGATGCGAGTTCAGGTTCTGGGGGTTCAAGTCCCAGCCCCAGTGCTTGCTAATTGTGACTTCTGTAGCGTGTTACTGCATCCCAGCCTGTTTCCTGTTCTGATAGTCAGGGCCTGTACTGACGCCTTGCTAGGTTCTAAGGTGGACTAAATGTACTAAGATGTGTGACACAGGGCTGAAGCCTGGTGCCAATGCAGTGGAATGTGAAGGTTGTGGTAGGGCAGGCCTGTGTTCTTTGTATCATTAGAAATTTTCCAACTGGGGTCCTGGCATCTGCACATCCTGGATGCTTGTTAGACATACAAGTCCTTGGGCTCCTTCCTACAGTAGTGCAATCAGAAACACTGGGGCCCAGCTCGCTGTGTTACGGCCTTCCAGGTGATTCTAACGCATTCTCAAGCCTGAGCAGCTGGGCAGATGGATAATTTTAAAGGTAGGGCCTTTCTGTACCACAGCAGATTCATCTTCTGGAGGCAGAAGAGAACAAAATGTGTTCACAGGAAAAATGCGATTCCTGTGTCAGAACCAAACCCTCTGAATCTCACATGACCTGACGCAGACTTCCACTGATGCTGTGTAATGCTTTCCTGCAACCTTCTCATACAGCCCAACAACCCTGAGGCTGCTGGAGGAAGACATGACAGGTTTTAACCAAAAGAAACTGAGGCTCAGAGATCTCAGTCATCTGTTGGACATCTACCATGGGCCAGAGCTAATGAGGCTAAATGCCAGAGACACATGAAAAACACGATGGTCTCAAGAGGACAGGACACCCAGGGTGCAGCCACCACCCCCATTCCACAGCTGCTCTCCTCTCCTACCCACCTGTAGAGTGCCAGATTTCAAACTGGACTCACTTTTACCCCATGTTTGCTGCTTTAGAATCTTTTTAGCATACAATTTAGGGATCTTGGTAATTGTCTCAGATGGAGATAACTATTATGCAGTAGGCATTTGATACTAGCCTAACTAGAATCAATTGGCTTTTTTTTTTCCAACTGGCTTATTTTTTTCCAATTGGCTTATTTTTTTTAATTTTTTTAATTTTTTTTTTTTTTGAGACGGAGTCTCGCTCTGTAGCCCAGGCTGGAGTGCAGTGGCCGGATCTCAGCTCACTGCAAGCTCCGCCTCCCGGGTTCACGCCATTCTCCGGCCTCAGCCTCCCGAGTAGCTGGGACTACAGGCGCTGCCACCTCGCGCGGCTATTTTTTGTATTTCTTAGTAGAGACGGGGTTTCACCGTGTTACCCAGGATGGTCTCGATCTCCTGACCTCGTGATCCGCCCATCTCGGCCTCCCAAAGTGCTGGGATTACAGGCTTGAGCCACCGCCCCCGGCCTCAATTGGCTTATTATGTACTTTGCCTTGTGATTATTTCCTGATTCAATTTTCTCCTACAGCTTATAATTTCAACTACTATGTCATTGAATGCTACCTTATTTCTAAAGGATTTCATAGTTTAAATCTTTCTCTTATTTATCCTCATAATAACTGTAAGTTAGAACTTACATAATTAACATCTCCATTTTCCAAATAAGAAAACAGAGGCTCAGAGAGGTCACAAGGTAAGTATCAGGATCAAGTTTAATAAACATTTATTAAGCAGTAGAATCCAAGTGAGTGCCTGGATCCTGGCCACCAACTCCTGTGACAACTGAGATAATTATTTCACAATGATGGGCGGCTCAGTGAGATTCTGATTGCATCTGCTGCATGACAAACGACCTATTCAGAGTACGTCTGACACACTGGAGGAGGCCGAGGGGGTAACACATTGAAAGCAGGACCAGATAGCAGTGCATCTCGGAGATCCATTTATTCATGCCATGAAGTAAATGGTACTTATACAAGTGTACAGGGACGTTCCACGCTCCCCATCTAACACGGCTTGCTTAAATTTACAGGCGGACTGATGTTTTCTTTCACATGTACTCCAAGTAAATCTGGTTAGTGATGACCAGGAGCAGGCGCCGAAGCTTTTGAAAGAGATGCATGTATAAATACAATTTAAGAAGGAAGGAACAAGTTGGATGTAATTTATTAAACAAGTATCAAAAAAAGTTGATCAACAGTCCAAAAATATAAACGACACCTTTCAATACTATTGAAAAGTAGGATTATTTCTATATGAAACACCCAGAGTGCTTAAGGGCCCACATAATGACAACAGACAGCAGTGGCCACCCACAGGGCAAAGAAGAGAGGGGCAGGGAAACACCTCTTCCTCAAACTCATGTAGCCAGTCCTGGGTTTGTGTAACATTCAAATGGCTACAGTTTCATTGTCACTTGGACCTAAATTTATAAGGCGCTTTCTTTCAAAATACATTAAAGGCCGGGTGCTGTGGCTCACGCCTGTAATCCCAGCACTTTGGGAGGCCAAGGCGGGTGGATCACCTGAGGTCAGGAGTTCGAAACCAGCCTGGCCAACATGGTGAAACTCCATCTCTACTAAAAATACAAGAAATTAGCCTGGTGTTGTGGCTATAATCCCACCTGTAATCCCAACTACTTGGGAGGCTGAGGCAGGAGAATTGAATCTGGAAGGCGGAGGTTGCAGCGAGCCACTGGGCAACAGAGCGAGACTCTGTCTCAAAAAACAAAAACAAAAAACAAAACAAAACCATTAAAAACACATCATTAGGGGGAGGCTGAGGCGGGTGGATCACAAGGTCAGGAGATCGAGACCATCCTGGCTACATGAAACCCTGACTCTACACAAAAAATTAGCCAGGAGTGGCGGTGGATGCCTGTAGTCTCAGCTACTCAGGAGGCTGAGGCAGGAGAATGGTGTGAACCCGGGAGGCAGAGCTTGCAGTGAGCCAAGATCGCGCCACTGCACTCCAGCCTGGGCAACAAAGCGAGACTCCCGTCTCAAAAAACAAAACAAAACAAAACAAAACAAAAAACAACAAAAACAAACCAAAACCATTCAAACCACATCATTAGGGAACTTCTAGGACAGCATGCTCACACAGCTCACTTGCGCTTCCCTATTGGTGATGCTATCGACTACCTCTAATTCATCCATTCCTCTATTACTCCTGGGAAGTTTTACTTGATCCACTTGACTATAAAAAGCAGAAATTCAGAATTCTGTTTTCCAGCAGGCACAGCAAACTTCAAGCTGTGAAGCATTTCAACTGCATCTTACATATGTACTGAACCATGTATCAATTTCAATTCAGAACAATGATATGCCTTGTCCCGAAAAGACATGATGGTGTTTTCCATTCCCAACCATTTTCAGAAGCAAAAATCTTACCTTTCAAAGCCTTACTTCTTTTATCTAAAATAAAAGAAAGGAAAAAAAAATCAGTCATATCAATGCTTTATAAAAATGCCTTTGTCAAAATTAACATTTAGCTGAAGGCATTGTAGCTTAGGTAAAGCAATTCAGGAAGCGTTCAAAAAATATGTCTTATAGCCACGAAATGGTAAAATTCCTATCAAATATGTTCTATGAACAGCTAACAGCCCTTTCAAATTTGCAGGGCTCCTTACCCTCTACAACGTCCTAAACTCTAGTCTCGCAGCATAAAGTTTTCTCTTTCCTCTTTGTAATCAACGGCTTAGTAACATGTGATTGGGCCACACTGCTCTGCTCTACTGAGAACCAAGTGGTTATTCTTCTCCTCTACATATTATTACAAACAAATTTCAAATATTCAGAACAGTTGAAAAGGTACCACATACCATGAAACCATACTTTAAATATCTTAGACTTCATCTCTTAAAACGAATGTAGGCCGGGCGTGGTGGCTCAAGCCTGTAATCCCAGCACTTTGGGAGGCCGAGACGGGCGGATCACGAGGTCAGGAGATCGAGACCATCCTGGCTAACACGGTGAAACCCCGTCTCTACTAAAAAAAAATACAAAAAACTAGCCGGGCGAGGTGGCGGGCGCCTGTAGTCCCAGCTACTCGGGAGGCTGAGGCAGAAGAATGGCGTGAACCCAGGAGGCGGAGCTTGCAGTGAGCTGAGATCCGGCCACTGCACTCCAGCCTGGGCGACAGAGCGAGACTCCGTCTCAAAAAAAAAAAAACCAAAAAAACAAAAACGAATGTAATACCACTCTCACACCTAAGAAAACTCACAATTCTGATATTAAAGTCTTGTTCAAAGTTCCCCAATTGGGCCAGGTGTTGTGGCTCATGCTTGTAATTCCAGCACTTTGTGAAGCCACGACTGGAGGACTGTTTGAGCCCAGCAGTTTGAGACCAGCCTGGGCAACATGGCAAAACCCCATCTCTCCAAAAAAAAAAAAAAAGGTACAAAAACAGCCAGGTGGTGGTGGTGGTGGGCATAGTGACAGGCACCTGTGGTCCTAGCTACCTGGGAGGCCGAGGTGGGAGAATCACCTGAGCCCAGGAGGTGGAGGCTGCAGTGAACCATGATTGTGCCATTGCGCTCCAGCCTGGGTGTCGGAGTAAGAGACGGTCTCCAAAAAAAAATGAACAAACAAAAAAATTCCCCACTGTCCCCAAATGTCTTTTATAGCTGACATGTGCTCCCTGTATTTTTTTTTTTTTTTTTTTTTTTGAACGAGTCTCGCTCTGTAGCCAGCTGATGATGCATTCAGTCACTGAAGTCGCTCCGGTTACGCCATTCTCGCTCGTCCGAGTAGCTGATACAGGCGTGCACCTGCCGGCTTTTTTTATTTTTATAGAGATGGGTTTCCCTGTTAGCCGGATGGTCTTCTGACTGTGATGCCATCTCGCTCCAGTGTGGAACAGTGGAGGCCGGTGCTCCCTGTATTTTTAGAAGGACTGTAGTTCTGATTTACATATTAACCCATATCCTTTACAACGTGAATTGTGATTCTTTTTGAAAATCATTTTCTTCCTGACCTCAAAAAAATCAAACATAAAGAAACGTACCAGCGGCCCGGATTTTATAAACGATGAAGCCCATCAGCCCCATTCCTATCCAAATCTCCTGGTAAACTTTGGTGTAGTAGGGCTTCATGGGGATCCACACATTTTTAATAAAACTTTGAAGCATCTGAAAATGAACACAGTGATTAAAAATTAGAATGATTATTGCTCTACACCTAACTGGTAGAAGATTTTAATTTGTTAAGTTCAACCCTATTTCCCACGACCACTATGTCTGTGTCAGACCTGTTCTGCACTCACGTGGGACTCACGCCTTTTTTTTTTTTTAAGGTGGAGTCTTACTCTGTCGCCCAGGCTGGAGTGCAGTGGTGCAATCTTGGTTCACTGCAACCTCTGCCTCCCAGGTTCAAGCGCTTCTCCTGCCTCAGCCTCCCGAGTAGCTGGGACTACAGATGCGTGCCCCCCTGCCTGGCTAATTTTTGTATTTTAGGTAGACAGGGTTTCGCCATGTTGGCCAGGCCGGTCTTGAACTCCTGAGCGCAGGGGACCTGCCAGCCTTGGCCTCCCAAAATGCTGGGATTATAGGTGTGAGCCACTGTGCCCGGCCATTTTTTTTTTTTTTTTTTTTAAAGTAGTGGTGGGATTCACCATGTTGGCCAGGCTGGTCTCAAACTCCTGACCTCAAGTGATCCGCCCACCTTGGCCTCTCAAAGTGCTAGGATTACAGGTGTGAGCCACAGAGCCTGGCCTGGGACTCATGCTTTCCACAGCTCTTCCAACTCAACCCATCGCCAGGGCCCCCTCCTCCCACCTTTGGCCATCCTAGCCACTTCTCATTCCTTACATCACAGAGCTCATCCAGCACCTCTCCCACCCTGATGCCATGCCCTGAACTGAAAATTACTTTAATGTCTAAATGGAAAAATTAGTATCTTCTCATCTTCATGTTATGAATGTCACATTCAAAGCTGAAAAAGAATATGGCCAGGGCATGGTCATTTCCTTGTGAAACTAATGCCAGGCTCGGCACACTCTGATCAGCTGTATCTCCATCTTGAAGTCTGTTGCTAAATACAAACCAGATGACATAAGACAACGAGGTCACTTCATAAGAACTGCCAATTATGACAGAACTTATTTAATGAATAAAGGTAGTTACTTAATGAATTACTGAATTTGATCAGGAAAAGCCATTAAATTCTGAACTTACAGTTTGCTTGTACGTGCAGGTCTCAAAATAATGCTTTTTATTAATTTACTCTCGCCGGGCGCGGTGGCTCACGCCTGTAATCCCAGCACTTTGGGAGGCCAAGATGGGCGAATCACGAGGTCAGGAGATGGAGACCATCCTGGCTAACACGGTGAAACCCCGTCTCTACTAAAAATACAAAAAATTAGCCGGGTGTGGTATCAGGCGCCTGTAGTCCCAGCTACTCGGGAGGCTGAGGCAGGAGAATGGTGTGAACCCGGGAGGTGGAGCTTGCAGTGAGGCAAGATCGCGCCACTGCACTTCAGCCTGGGCGACAGAGTGAGACTCCATCTCAAAAAAAAAAACAACAATTTACTCTCTACTATAGACCCCAAATTAGATGCCCTCATTTTCATTTTAATATGCTTTTTAACATCTGAAGTGGTCTATTAAACTACAGTCAAATAGCTGTGAGGAATGACTAGATCTAAGCACTTCTCATTTCACTTGGAAACTGCTTTGGCTGGGTGTGGTGGCTCATGCCTGTAATCCCAGTGCTTTGGAAGGCCGATGTGCGAGGGTCACTTGAGTCCAGGAGCTTGAGACTAATTTGGGTAACATAGGGAGACCTAGTCTCCACAAAACATAAAAAATTAACCAGGTGTGGTGGTGTTTACCTGGCTAATTTTTTATGTTAGTCGTAGCTATTGGGAGACTGAGGTGGGAAGACTGCTTGAGCTTGTGTGGTTGAAGATGCAGGCAGCCGTGATCACACCACTGCACTGCAGCCTGGGCGACAAAGTGAGACTCTGTCTCAAAAAAAAAAAAAAAAAGAACAAACGAACGAACGAATGAACTGTGCGTTGGCTGTGACCTGTAATGCCGCCTCTGCCCCACCCTCCCTGTGCCCACACCTGAGCCCCACTCACTGCTCCTTTCACATCACTACTCAGGCTCCACAGGATCCGACTGCTTGGCCGTGTTCGCCCTTTCCCACACTTCGCAGCTCTGCCTGTCGGCTTGACAGCACTGAATCCTTCACAAGTCCAACCTAGTCAAAGGTCAATGGCGGCCCTCAAATCACCGAAACAATTGGCAAATGTGCACTGAGCATGTACTAGGTGCCAGACATTGTTTTAGGAGCTGAGAAACAATAAAGGGTCAGGATATCTGGGAGAGGAATCCTCGGCATCGACAGAGACTCTGAGGTCAGAATGAACTTGGAGAGCTGGAAGGAATAGGGAGGCCACGGTGTCAGATTCAAATCCTGGCTGTCACTTACTAGCTAACTTAAACCGCTTAAGTTTTCTCATCTGTAAAACAGGGATAAAAACAGGATCCACCTCAAGCGGTTGTTATGGAGAATAACATAGAGTAACTCTATGTCAAACGTTGAGTGTCTGGTACTATGTATTAAATGCTTGTTACATAAAGTACCATGGCTGGACTATGGGAAGGAAGATGGGACAGGTCATTTAAGGGCCTTGGAGGATAGCATAGAGTTTAGCTTTTATTCTAAAACTGTTCTCTAAACTTAACAACTTTTCTTTTTTTTTTTGCTTTAGGGTTTTTTTGTTTCCTGTGTTGACAATATCATGAAGAAAATTCAGTTTAGAATCTGGAACTGGCCTGGATGGGATGAGGGCAGCTGGTGGGGGCTGCAGAGCCCCTTTGATTCCTCCCCCACTGTGGGAGCTAAGCTACTGGACACAGGAGCACCACAGGGCACCGAACGAGGAACTAAGTTAGTGTCTTGAGTCAGGCAAGAACAGGGAGGCCAGGCCAGAGCCACCACAGGGACTGCCCTGATGTGGTTAGTTCTGTTTCCATCCCTTCAACAGCATTTTAAAAGTGCTTTTCGTACTTACTTCCTACACTGCTTTCCACTCCTATAAAATGGGTACTTGGGGAAAGCCGCCCAAGTTTCTGCGGGAGGTTAGCAGGACTGCACTCACACCAAATCTGTACGTCATGCTCCCGATGACGAGAACCTGCCTCCAACACCTGCTTTCCTGCTCTTCTCTATGAGAGGACTTATTTAGGCAAGGATGGTCGTGAAGGCTGGCCTGAGGTGTGACCTTGCAGGATGTGACTGTGTCCTTCTCCTGGAACACCTTGCAGATAGTCCGCCCTCAAATTTCCTGTCCTCAAACTGTACTTGAATGCTCTGATAGAGTGTGAGGTTCCAAGAAACTAACAGCCCTGCTTTGGGAATGTGTCACAGATGATCCAAACAAGACCCAGAGGTTTCCGGAAGCCCCAGACTAGAAGAGTTCAGAGGCAAGGAATGAATCCCTTGTCTCCCTGCAATGACTGGGAAGGAAGCATTCTACAGGACCAATGGGTCTGGAAGCCTGGGAATCCTGGGCTCCAACACCAGCTCTCCCTGGTCAGCTCTCAACTTTGGGCAAGTCCCTTTAGCTGTCGTTTCAGAGGTTTCTTTTTCTGTGAAACATGGATGCCTCCACCTGCCCCCACAGGGCTGTCAATGTAATTCAGAGAGGAAACCTAAAGGACCCAGCCTAGTGCCTGGTATGGAATAAAAATCCAGAGAATGGGCTGGGCACGGTGGCTCACGCCTGTAATCCCAGCATTTTGGGAGGCCAAAACGGGCAGATCACTTAAGGTCAGGAGTTCGAGACCAGCCTGGCCAACATGGCGAAACCCTGTCTCTACTAAAAATACAAAAATTAGTGGTGGTGGGCACCTATAATCTCAGCTACTCGGGAGGCTGAGGCAGGAGAATCGCTTGAACCCAGGAGGTGGAGCTTGCAGTGAGCAGAGATTGCACCACTGCACTCCAGCCTGGGCAACAAGAGTGAGACTCCCCCCTGCCCCCCAACAACAACAACAACAACAACAACAAAGAATTCAGTGAATGATCACAGCAGTAACAGAATTGATACAAATATCCAGTTGACGGCTATAATTAAAACTAAGCCACTGGGATTCTAACAGAAGGAAGACTTAAAAATGATGCCCTCATTTAGGCCAGTTAGGGGCTTCGGACAGAGCAAGGTCAGATGAGGGTCTAGAAGGAAAAGGGCAAAGTAAACTGGGAGGGTACAATGGCTACGGTAAGAAGGGACTAAAGAAACTGAGTCATCCTGACATTTTGCTCGGGGCCCAGGCATCCTGGTATGATCTTACAAAATTACCCTTGGTCCCCAGTGCAACAGGGACCTGCTATACAGTAGCTTACAAATACCTTTCCCCCTCCTTTCCCCTTGACTTTAGTTGCCATATTTGCCTGGACAAGTAACATGTTCCCAATACATACTAAAAAGAGGGCCCCTACTTTTTTTTTTTGAGATAAGAGTTTCACTCGGTCGTCAGGCTGGAGTGCAATGGCGCCATCTCGGCTCACTGCAACCTCCGCCTCCCAGTTGCAAGTGATTCTCCTGCCTCAGCCTCCCGAGTAGCTGGAACTATAGGCGCCCGCCACACCCAGCTAATTTTTGTATTTTTAGTAGAGATGGGATTTCACCATGTTGGCCAGAATGGTCTCCATCTCTTGAACTCGTGATCCGCCCGCCTTGGCCTCCCAAAGGGCTGGGATTACAGGCGTGAACGGCTGGGCACAGCCGGCCCCTACTTTCTTCTTTTTTTTTTTGAGACAGAGTCTCCCTCTGTCACCCAGGCTGGAGTGCAGTGGAGCGATCTTGGCTCACTGCAACCTCCGCCTCCCGGGTTCAAGCGATTCTCCTGCCTCAGCCTCCTGAGTAGCTGGGAAGCTGGGACTACGGGTGCGTGCCACCACACCCGGCTAATTTTTTTTAATTTATTTATTTTTTTAATTTTTATTTTTATTTATTTATTTATTTATTTTTTTGAGACAGAGTCTCGCTCTGTCGCCCAGGCTGGAGTGCAGTGGCCGGATCTCAGCTCACTGCAAGCTCCGCCTCCCGGGTTTACGCCATTCTCCTGCCTCAGCCTCCCGAGTAGCTGGGACTACAGGCGCCCGCCACATCGCCCGGCTAGTTTTTTGTATTTTTTTTAGTAGAGACGAGGTTTCACCGTGTTAATCAGGATGGTCTCGATCTTCTGACCTCGTGATCCGCCCGTCTCGGCCTCCCAAAGTGCTGGGATTACAGGCTTGAGCCACCGCGCCCGGCCATTTTTTTTATTTTTTTTATTTTTAGTAGAGACAGGGTTTCACCGTGTTAGCCAGGATGGTCTCGATCTCTCGACCTTGTGATCGGCCCGCCTGGGCCTCCCAAAGTGCTGGGAATACAGGTGTGAATCACCAAGCCCGGCTACACGTTCCTAATATATAATAAAACGAGGGCCCCTACTTTTTTTTTGAGACGGAGTTTCACTCAGTCGTCAGGCTGGAGTGCAATGGCGCGATCTCGGCTCACTGGAACCTCTGCCTCCTGGGTGCAAGCGATTCTCCCGCCTCAGACTCCCGAGTAGCTGGGACTACAGACGCCAGCAACCACACCCAGCTAATTTTTGTATTTTTAGTAGAGACGGGGTTTCACCATCTTGGTCAGGATGGTCTCTATCTCTTCACCTCGTGATCCGCCCGCCTCGGCCTTCCAAAGGGCTGGGATTACAGGGGTGAACCACCAAGCCTGGCCGGCCCCTACTTTCTTGAGTCCATTCTGCCCAGGCAGAATGTGTGTCAGTTTTACAGCACCAGACCTTTTAAAAATCCATCTGATTCATAGGTCAAACGTGTATCCACTTAAGTCTGCAACGTTTTGGCACATTACATTAAGGGCAAACTATTACCGGACACTGGAAATGGGAAATGTCTCACCCGCGAGTTCCATACAATTTCAATCACCACCATACGATCTCTTGTTTCCCTGTTGCCTCACCCCAGTTGTCACGTACAGCATAACGTGGAGGACAAGGGTGGTGCAAGGAAACTTGAGTTATAAAGGAGAGAAGGGACTGGATGTGGAGTCAGAGTTCCTGGCTTGGACTCTGGCTTCTCTAACTCTGCGTAGCCTCCGCATTAGGCAGCGGAATCTCTCAAGGCCAGGGGACGCTCCCTGTCAAAAGCGTGGGAGATACAGGCGCACTGAGCGCGTTAACGCCAAGAAGGGAAACGCGGCGCAGGCCTAGGCGATGCTTCCCTCTGGCAACCGACCCTGGCCTGTCTCCCTTTAGAGAAGGGGAGGCCGGGCGGAAAACCAGGCGTGTGCCGGCGGAGGAATGGGACCCCAAGGTCAGCTGGGGCCAAGGCGGCTTCTCGTCCTCCCGCCCCCGCCACTTCGCACCTCGGGGGCCAGGTCTATGTCCCCGCACTCACCTTGGCGCAGGACAGACGCCTCAGAGACCACCACAAACCTGCAGTCGTCAGGAAGGTCACCGACCGCGCACGCGCGCGCAGGGGCTGCCGGGAAGGCGGAAGCAGCAGTTACGCCGCAACGCCAGAGTGCCTCCCCAGCGGCGCCTGCGCGCCACAGCGTCCCCGGCGGCCGCCTGGTGCCGCAGGCAAGAAGCGGCGGGGACAGGATGCGGTAGGGGTGTGCCCGCGTGTGTCACCGTGGGGTGGCTAACCCTCCACATCTTCCCACGACTGATGAGTTTCCTGGGACGCAGGACCTTCAACGCTGAAACTAGGAAAGTTCTACACAAACCGGGAGGGTTGGTTAACCTAAAGGACCCTCTTTACTGTTATGTTAAAGACTAAGTCTCCCATTTCAGTGGTGTGTCTTGCCCTTTGCATTGTTAATTATTTGGCTCTGCATGTATATATATTTTGAGACGGAGCCTCACTCTGTCGCCCAGGCTGCAGTGCAGTGGCACGATCTCGGTTCACTGCAACCTCTGCCTCCCGGGTTCAAGCGATTCTCGTGCCTCAGCTTCCTGAATAGCTGGGATTACAGGCGCCAGTCACCACGCCCAGCTAGCTTTTGTATTTTAGCAGAGAGGGGGTTTCACCATGTTGGCCAGACTGGTCTTGAACTCCTGACCTCAGGTGATCCACCTGCCTTAGCCTCCCAAAGTGCTGGGATTACAGGCTTGAGCCACCATGCCCGGCCTGCTCAGCACATTTTTATGTCTGTATTCTGTGCATATTCTTCTCAGCAGATTAATATAAAACTTCCACAGGGGCTTCAGACACTGGACTTAATAGTCTTTTTTTTTTTTTTTTTGAGAGGGAGTCTCGCTCTGTCGCCCAGGCTGGAGTGCAGTGGCGCGATCTCAGCTCACTGCAAGCTCCGCCTCCCGGGTTCACGCCATTCTCCTGCCTCAGCCTCCCAAGTAGCTGGGACCACAGGCGCCCGCCACCACACCCAGCTAGTTTTTTGTATTTTTTAGTAGAGACGGGGTTTCACCGTGTTAGCCAGGATGGTCTCGATCTCCTGACCTCGTGATCCGCCCGTCTCGGCCTCCCAAAGTGCTGGGATTACAGGCTTGAGCCACCGCGCCCGGCCTTAACAGTCTTTAAAAAACTATATATACATATATACATATATATATATATGCTGGGCGTGGTGGCGCGCTCTCTCTCTCTCTTTTTCTCTCTCTCTATATATATACTTTTTTTTTTTCCAGAAGTATTTTGCAGTAGAGAACTAGAAATCATAAAGAAAACAATTTAGCGAGCGGATCACCTGAGGTCAGGAGTTCAAGACCAGCCTAGCCGACATGGCGAAACCCCATCCTTACTAAAAATACAAAAATTAGCTGGGCGTGGTGGCAGGCGCCTGTAATCCCAACTGCTCAGGAAGTTGGGGCAGGAGAATCACTTGAACCAGGGGGGCAGAGGTTGCAGTGAGCCGAGATTAGGAGCGGCAAGAGTGAAACACCGTCTCAAAGAAAAAGCCAAATAAAAATTGGATGGAGGCTGGGCGCAGTGGCTCAGCACTTTGTGAGGCCTGTAATCTCTAATCTCAGCACTTTAGGAGGCCAAAGCAGGCAAACTGCTTGAGTTCAGGAGTTTGAGGAGTTTGAGACCAGTCTGGCTAACATGATGAAACCCCTTTTCTACTAAAAATACAAAAATTAGCCGGGTGTGGTAGTGGTGCGTGCCTGTAATCCCAGCTACTTGGGAGGCTGAGGCAGGAGAATTGCTTGAACCCTGGAGGCAGAGGTTGCAGTGAGCCGAGATGGTGCCACTGTATTCCAGCTTGGGCGACAGAGTGAGACTCTGTCTCAAACAAGCAAAACAAAAAAGAAATTGGATGGGTTTGGCAGATTAGACAGTTGAAGAATAAACTGCAAGATAGAAGAAGCCATTCAGAAAATAAGAGGATACAGCAGGAAAGGCCATCATGTGGGTAACTGGTATCTTAGAAGGAAATGAAAGAGGTGAGGCAGAAATATTTCAAGAGCTAATGGCTGAGAATTTTCCGAAAGTGATGATAAAAAAATCATGCCAAAGATTCAAAAAGTCTTACAGAAACCAAGCAGGCAGATAAATAGAAACAAAACAATACCTTGAAATCTCACACTAAAGCCATAGAAAAGATAAAGATAAAATCTCAAAGAAAATAACCGCCAATCAAGAATTCTATACACAGGGAAACTGGCATTCGGAAAAGGTGAAATAAAGATAGTTTAGGACAAACTGAAGAAATCGTGCCAGGCATGGTGGCTCATGCTTGTAATCCCAGCACTTTGGGAGGATTGCTTGAGCCCAGGATTTTGAGACCAGCCTGGGCAATGTATTAAGATCCCATTTTTAATGAAAAAAAAAAAAAGAGGAAATTATTAGGTTTTGAAGGGAAGGCAAGGGTTAAAGACAGACGAGACACACACACTCACACACACACACACACACACACACACGCAGAGGATGAAGGGGGAGAGGGGGAGAGAGGAGAGAGATGGTGGCTTCAACAGCAATGCAGGTTTACTGCCAGCAAAAACCTGTGGAGGAGGTAACCAGCTTAGTGCCCGAGCTCACTGCTGCTTCCAGGCTGGGGTAATTATAGGTCTGGGCTGGATCGGTCTGGGCAGTATGGCTTGCTGCCTGGCAGGATGTGATAAGAATGCTCCTGCAGTCAGGCGGTTGGGCAGGATGTTTCTTATGGCTGGAGCCCCCATGGAATGTTTCACTCCCACCAAGGTCTGTGAAATGGTGGGGGGTTTATAAAATGGTGCAGCTAAGACTGAAATAATCACGAGCAGATCCACAGTAAAATAAATGTTCATTATTCAGGCACAAGGAAAACGAGCTCAGATGTGTCAAGATAAAATAATAAAAAGGCTTAGGATCCAGTTAAAATCGTCCTTTTTGAGATGGAGTCTTGCTGTTTCGCCCAGGCTGGAGTGCAGTGGTGTGATCTCAGCCTCTGGAGTAGCTGGGATTATAGGCACCCACCACCACGCCTGGCTGATTGTATTTTCAGTGGAGACGGGGTTTCACCATGTTGACCAGGCTGTTCTCCAACTCCTGACCTCCTGATCCACCGACCTCGGCCTCCCAAAGTGCTGGGATTATAGGCGTGAGCCACAGTACCCGGCCCGGATCCAGTTAAAATAGTTTATTCAAGCACAAAGTATGAGGCATCTAGGTACACCCGAACACCAAAGCATGGTAATTGGCCCAGCACTTTGGGAGGCCGAGGCGGGCGGATCACCTGAGGTCAGGAGTTCGAGCCAGCCTGGCCAACATGGTGAAACCCTATCTCTACTAAAAATACAAAAAGTAGCTGGGCGTGATGGCGGGCGCCTGTAATCCCAGCTACTCAGGAGGCTGAGGCAGGAGAAGCACTTGAACCCGGGAGGCAGAGGTTGCAGTGAGCCAAGGTCGCACCATTGCACTCCAGCCTGGGGGACAAGAGTGAGACTTCGGCTCAAAAAAAAAAAAAACAACAAAAATTAGCTGGGCACGGTGGTAGACGCCTATAATCCCAGCTACTCAGCTGAGGCCAGAGAATCACTTGAACCCGGGAGGCAGAGGTTGCAGTGAGCTGAGATTGTGTCATTGCACTCCAGCATGGGCGACAAGAGCAAGACTCTACCTCAAAAAAAGAAAAACAAAACAACAAAAAAAAACAGGTGATCAGTGCTCAAGTGAGGATTGTTCATACAGGCAAAATTAGGGGCTGAAAACTGAGTTACATTTTCCATACGAAGGCTAACATAGAGATAGAAGACTTGATTGACTGCTTAGCATCCTGCTGTAAAGAGGTAACAGTTAACAAGGCTCTCATCGCCAATGTCACTTAACCTAGTTTTGAATGAAGACTGGGGAGTCTGGTTAATGTGTAACATCTCAACACAAGTCAGCAAGTGTCAGGCACTAGAGAAGAAAAACAGCCATGTTACCTGCCTCAGTTTCCAGGGCTTAACTTTTCCACTTAGCTTAATAAATCTGGAGGTCCTAAAATTTTCAAGGATGAGATTGCAGGAAGGAATGAACAATGAACATGGTCCTGCTGGAAGGGAAAAGAGCTTACGGTCAAATCAAACTGCACAGAAAGCTTGAAAACTTTCTGTCTTAGGGTAGCAGTTCTCCAAGTGTGGGTCAAAACTATTTTCTTCATAATAGTAAATAGTCTTCGCCTTTTTTTTTTTTGAGACAGGGCTTCACTGTTACCCAGGCTGGAGTACGATGGCGCGATCTCCACTCACTGCAACCTCCGTCTCCTGGGCTTAAGTGATTCTTTCACCCCAGCCTTCCAAGTGGCTGGGACTACAGGCACGTGCCACCATGCCTGGCTAATTTTTGTATTTTTGCTAGAGATAGGGTTTTGCCATGTTGCCCAGGCTGGTCTTTAATTCCTGAGTTCAAGTGATCTGCCTGTCTTGGCCTCCCAAAGTGTGGGATTACAGGCGTGAGCCACTGGAGCTGGCCTTCTTTGTCTTTTTCTTTTTCTTTTTTTTTTTTTTTTTGAGAGGGAGTCTCGCTCTGTCGCCCAGGCTGGAGTGCAGTGGCCGGATCTCAGCTCACTGCAAGCTCCGCCTCCCAGGTTCCTGCCATTCTCCTGCCTCAGCCTCCCAAGTACCTGGGACTACAGGCACCGCCACCACGCCCGGCTAGTTTTTTGTATATTTTAGTAGAGACGGGGTTTCACCGTGTTAGCCAGGATGGTCTCGATCTCCTGACCTCGTGATCCGCCCGTCTCGGCCTCCCAAAGTGCTGGGATTACAGGCTTGAGCCACCGTGCCCGGCCCTTTGTCTTTTTCATTAGGATTCTCTCACAAGTGTACAGTGGAGTTTTCCAGGGTCATGTGACTTGTGGTATCACATCAGAATGACTTCAGAAACAGATTTGAGAATCCAGCTGTTTCTCATGCAACTAGACACTAAGGGATCTTCAAAAATGTAAAATTTTTGAATTTTACATTTTACATAAAAAATCTTCAAAAATGTAAAAGCATCATTCCTCTCACACGCACACACAAAATGTTTTTTGGAAAACATAGTGATGTTTTCCAAATACACTCTTTAACATCAAATGAGTTTATTATTATTTTAAAATGAATAAGTAAAAAC